GACGTCGGCCAGTGCCTTCAGCACCCTCGGATGGAGCTCATCCGGGCCTGCCGACTTAAAGGCATCCAGTTCTTCCAAGTGACTCTGCACCATCTCAGGGTCTATGCATGGTAGTCTGGCACCTTGCTGCTGCCTCTCTACAACCCCAGTGAGAGACTTGTCTTGCCCCTCTCTTAGGAACACTGAGGCAAAGAACTCGTTGAGGAGTTCAGCCTTGTCTCCCCTGTCTGTCACCAATTGTTTCTGCCCATTTAGCAGGGGTCCTATTCCTCCCTGGGCCTTCCTTTTACTCCCTATATATCTAAAAAACAATTTCTTGTTGTCCTTTACTTGGGATGCCATCCTCAGCTCCATGGTAGCTTTGGCCTGTCTAACTGCCTCTCTACAAGCACGAGCAGAGGAGGTATATTCGTCTTTGGTGATCTCTCCCTGTTTCCACTTTTTATGTGCTCCCCTTTTGGCCCTTAGGCTGCCCTGGATTTCTGCGGTCAGTCAGGGAAGCCTCCTGGCCCCTTTCCCTCTTTTACCCCGCATGGGGATCGTCTCTCTTTGTGCCCGAAGGATCATTTCCTTAAGGCACAGCCACCCTTCTTGGGCTCCCATCACTTCAAAACTCCTACACTGCAGTGCGTCCTTGACTAATCGCCTGAGTTCATTTAAATCAGCTTTCCTAAAGTCTAGCACTTTTACCCTACTAGTTACCTTACCCACTCGATGCCCACTCATACTTTGGTAAGCTGGAATCCAGATTTGCTCTCTGACCTATTGCTCAATTACATCATTAATGATTAAGCTCCAGGACCCTGACACTTATATACACAAACATTTTTTATGCGCCCATGTTTAATTTAAATAAACATGCTTTTATTTTTTTTAAGGTGTGGGAATATATAAATAACAAATAGTGCTGAGCTTTCATTTTAATGTAATGTGTGTACTGTAAAAATATCAAATGGGTGGCTTTTGGAAAATTATGGTTTAGCCGTTTGTAATTGCATAGAGAATGTAATAATTTAATATTGTGTATGTGAAAATATGACTACATACCAAGTGACTGTTGTGATATATAACTAACTTACTTTATTGTATGTTTGTTTGGGATATTTTATTTCTAGTAAACATTATGCATTGCATGGTAATATATGATATAACTCTTTTCTTTGTAGATAAGCCAGGGTTTACTAGGAGGAGAAGAATGCAAGGATCCTTAGACTTTGTTGTCCAGTTACTCCTTTGGACCTTGGAGGAAGCCAGGGCCTCCTGGTCAGAGAGGAAAAAAAAATAAGTCTTGTTTGACTTGTCCAAAAATTGACAAATGTAATACTGGAACCACTGCTTTGAGGAATTAAAGGAGAGAGAGGGGAATGTGGAGAATTTGGTCTCAGAGGGGATCTTGGACAAAAGAGGAGTCCTGGAGGAAAGGGGGCTAAAGGAGAAAAAGGAAAAACAGGCAGTAGGGGGCTAAAAGGCTCTGCAGATTTGCAGAGTTCTCCAGGCTTGTGACGTAGTATGTCTGATTGTAGTTTTATGAAGGTATATCTTATCTGTCACTTTTGAAATTAAGTTACAATCGATAATACGGTTATTTATTTCTCAGATTTATTTTAGTGGTGATCCTGACTCTCACCTGCCATGCCTCTATGGAAATGTTTTTTTTCTTTTATCGGGAGGGATGGGGCCACAGGAGGACTTGAGGACACCTCCCAACCAAGACAGGTGATGTGGACAAGGAGTACCCACGTAAGTGACAGGGGTTCGGATAGTCCTGGGAATCGGGGAGGTGGCATACACACCAATTCAAGGCCTTAAATACCTCTACACCAATGCTAATAGTATGGGGAATAAGCAAGGCAGAACTTGCCCTCTGGATAGCTAGTTTAAACCCGGACATAGCAGGGCTCACAGAAACCTGGTGGGATTCATCGCATGACTGGGCAGTTAACATTAGGGGCTATAGACTATACAGGCGAGATAGAAGGAGGTGGAAAGGTGGGGGTGTGGTGCTCTACATCAAAGAGCAATGCACATCTTCAACTGGCAGGATAGGGTCAGAGGAGGGGCAGGCTGAAGTGCTCTGGGTCAGAATACAGGGTGGGTTGTGGGGAAAGGGACTTAACAGTGGGGGTCTACTACAGACCTCCCAACCAAGGGGAAGAGCTGGATCGGGAATTCTTGGGTCAGCTTGCGGAGGCACTTAAGGCAAGGGATGTAGTTGTCATGGGTGATCTAAATTACCCAGACATCTGCTGGGAGGAGCAGTCAGCCAGGTTGGAATGCTCACGAAAGTTCCTTGCCAAGATACAGGACCTCCACTTAACCCAGGAGGTGCACAGTCCCACCAGGGGAAATGCCCTGCTGGACCTGGTCCTGGCCATGGGTCATGACCTGGTGAGGGGACTCCAGGTTCTTGACCACCTGGGTGATCGTGATCGTCGCCTGCTGGAATTCACCATCCAGCGCAGGGTGTCAAGGGCCTGCAGCAAGGCAGTAGCCCTTGACTTCAAGAGGGCCAACTTCAATGAGTTGAGGAGATTGGTAGGAGAGGCACTGGGGTCCTGGAGAGGAGGGCAACTGGGTGCCCAAGAAGAGTGGTCATTTCTTAAGGAGACGATACTCAGAGCCCAAGGCGTGACAATCCCAATGAGAATCAAAGGGGGCAAGAGTGCTCAACTGCCCCCCTGGCTCACCAAGGGCATTCAGGAAT